GAGTCAGGAGGGTCTGGAGTCTCAGGCATGGTGGGTGGCTGGGCAGGGGACCAGGAGACCCAGCCGGCCTGTGGGTCTGAGTCGCACCCAGGCTGTTAGCAGCAGCAGCAGCAGCAGCAGCGCCTTGTTCCACCTGCTGGCCACTCATGGGAATGACAGCGGCTGGCTCTAGGCGAGCCTGGTCAGAGCTGGCCGGGCCTCCCAGAGAGGCACAGGGCTGAACGTGCGGCCTAGACCCTGCTACCACTGTCAGGATGGGGCAGGTGGCCGTCCTCAGCTGACCCATATTGACCCCCTAAGATTGGCCGAAGGACCCCCAGCCCCGCCCCACTTACCCACGCTGGCTTGGCCTGTGCTCAGCATGGTGACTGTCTCTTCCCCCCCTTTGGATCTCAGGTGGACACGGGGCCTGACGGGGCTGACGGACAACTGAGGACTCACTGGCCTTTGTCACAGGGTGAGAGAGGGACAGAGGGAGAAAACCAGCAGCTGAGCCGGAGGCACCGCCCACGGGGCCCACAAACAAGGGCCCTGGCGCCCTCTGATCACTGCTCTTCCACGTGGAGGGGCCTCTGTTTCAGGAAGGAGGCCTCAGGAGGGAGGAAGGAGCAGTGAGGCCCATTCCTGCCGTCCCTGCCAGGAGGCACCCTAGGAAGCAGAATGGAGGCTGTCTTCTGGGCTGGGAAGAGCTGGGGGGGGGGACAGGGCCCCAAAGGCAAGCTGTGGGAGGAGCACACTCCTCAGCATCCCCTCTGACAAGAGCCCCCAAGGGGCAGCCTGATGGCTTCCTGCAAGGCCACCCCCGTCCCCCTGGGAGACAGCGGAGTCTTTTGTTTCCTCTGGTGTGTGCATCACACAAACCCAACCAGGCCAGCAGAGGCGGGCCTGGAACACCTGGCTCCAGGGTTCTAGGCCTGGGGAGGTGTTACCTGGAGCTGGCGTCTCACAGACTTGTCTGCCCAGGCTGGCCTCCAATTGCCATCCTCCAGGCCTCAGCCTCCTAGGTAGCTAGGGTCATAGGTATGAGCCACCAGCACCCAGCTAAGTAGTGCCTGGCCCAAGGATGCCCCCCCCCTGAGTCCCATCGTGGAGTGGACGTTGTCCTGGCCACCAGAGGTTGACCCTGGCCGGGGTGTCCCTTCGTGTGGCACTGTTGGGGGCAGCTGCCAGCACATGGCACACTCCCGGCCAGTGTGACATGAGAGGATGGCCAGACCAGACCAGTGGGCGAGGGGTGCGGGCAGGGGCGTGGCCGTTCCTGATCACGCTGCTGCTGCCCCACCGTTCCACGTACATGTGCACACCACTGACAACCCTAACTCACGCGACCCCCCCACTTAATCCCTGCTGCTTCTCCCCTAAATACCCCACAGCACGCTACTGGAGGTGAGCCTGAGACTTGCCCCCGCCCCTCCCCACCCCATCTCTGTGGCTGCCTTGTGAAGCAACGATCTTCTGCAAAATGTGTCATCTCAGTGATGGCACTGTGTGCACAGGCAAAGCAGCCTAGGCGCAGACAGACAGACGGACAGACAGATTTAGGTAGCGTAAACTGACGGGGTGGGAAGGTCCAGAAGACACAGACTTGGCTCAATACACCTGCTACAGAGCTGCCCTGTTACTGGTAAAGCACATACCTGTGCACACGCGCACTGCCTTCCAGAAGCAGAAACACCGGGAACAGGCCGCTGGGGGCCAGGGGGAGTGAGGAACGAAAACCCCACCGGGCCCTGAGTCAGGGACACAGGGTGCCGTTCTCAGCTACCTGAGCTTGGTCAAGGCACCCCAGTCGGGAGACGCCAGGAGCACCCAAGCAGCAGCTGGGCTCCATAGGGCACGGAGGCTAGCGGGCACAAGCAGCCCCACACCTGCTCTCTGCTCCCCTGCTCGTTTCAAAGGCGCCATCTGGCAAGAAAGTGTGGCAGGATTGTCTGAGGTGAGGATGGCACCACGGCCGCTCAACCCTTTGCTCTCTAAATACATAAACTACATAAACGCTTGAGGCTTTGATTTAAATAAATACTGACCCCAGCCAGGGTTGTGTGTGTGTGTGTGTGTGTGTGTGTGTTAGGATAATCATATAGAAGGAAGCTAGATGGAGTTTATGGAGGCAAGCAGCAGTGTACCCCTGTAATCTCAGCACTCTGGAGGCTGAGGGAGGAGGATCATGAGTTTGAGGCCAGTCTGGACTACTCAGTGAGGTCTTAAAAAACAAAATAAAACCAACTTGGCAAGAAGCAATTTCACCTTCGTAACTTACAGTAGGTTAGGGATCTGACTCAAGGCTGACTCAAGGGTCGGGCTGGCAAGTGAATCCTTGGCAGATGGCAAATGCTCTCCTGCCAGGCTCAGCGGGAACGTCCTTTATCCCACCCGCGGCTCTGCACTCCTGCCACAAGTGCCAGGCTTCGCTGGCAAGGCCAGACTGTCCGGGAACGTGACGGCTGGCTGGCGTCTTGTCCCCTACCCCCAAGCAGCTGGGGAGCGGGCGGGTCCTCTCCCGGCATTTGCTGATGTGCTAATTGGGTGCATTTGAAAATGGCAATTTAGAATTGTCTCTCGATTGTACCTTAGCAATCTCGGCTATCTGAGTTTTGAAATTAGCATTTGCTAAGAGCCAGACCTGTTAGAGAAAGGGTGTCTGACTCCTCAGACACTGGACAGGGATCTTCCTTTTTTTTGGGGGGGGTCCATTTGTGGGGCCTGAACTCTGGGCCTGGGCGCTGTCCCTCAGCTTTTCAGCTCAAGGCTAGCGCTCTACCACTTGAGCCACAGCACCACTTCTGGTTTTTTTCTTTTCGCTTATGTGGTGCTGAGGAATCGAACCCAGGGCCTCAGGCATGCAAGGCACGCGCTCTACCACTGAGCCATCTTCCCAGCCGATCTTCCTTTTTTTTACCCCAGTGGTTTCATTGCTCTGGTGGGGCACGGCCCCTTGCAGCACCGAGTAGATGCTCACTTTACCTGAGGTTGGTGCAGTTTGCTGGCTTGACTGCTCTATCCCCGAGCCCAGTAAAGATGAACGTGTGTTGCTCCTTATCCTGTGATCTGTGCAGTAACTCAACATGCGGTTCTCAGAGGTACTTGATCTTCCCATGGATTTGCTTCCAATGGTTTATGTCTGGTATGAGTGTGTGTGCATGCACCAGTGCTGGAGCTTGAACTCAGGGCCTGGGCTCTGTCCTGAGTCTTTGTGCTCAGAGCTGGCACTCTACCACTTGAGCCCTATGTGCCACTTTCAGCTTTTTTTGAGTGGTTCATTGGAGATGAGTCTCACCAACTTTCCTGCCCTGGCTGGCTTTGAACCACAATCGCCAGATCTCACGTCCTGAGTAGCTGGGACGCCCGCCCAGCTTACCTTTTAAATTCTTATCGAACCACCTGACCCTTGCTGAGTTTTGTGAGGCTTCCTGTAGGGCAGTGGAGGTGGTGCAGGCATCTGCTGCTAACCCACTCAGGACTGTGCTCACAGGCCCGTAGAAGGCAGCAGCGTGGTCACTGCCCAGGCAGTGCTGGCTGCCATGGGCTTTGCTGGTGTCCGGGCCAGGCGTTCCTCGCGTGGGCTCAGCTCTCTTGTTGCTCCTGGCTTGCCTGTTGCCGACACACGTTGGTGTCACAGGCTGTGCACAAGTCCTGCGTGCTCATCACACGCAGAGCAGCTTGGCAGCGGCAGTTCACGGACACACCAGCCCCAGCTGAGAGCCTGGGGCAGAGCACATGGGATCTTGGTCTGCGATGGTGTCAGATCTACACTGCAGACTTGCAGAATTGAAGGTTTCTTTGTGAGCTTTACAATGAGCACGGCGCAGGGCGGGTTTTGGGCTCTTCCTTGAGATGAGATGGGCCACACTGCCTCCAGACCCACTGCGATCTTGCTCAAGTCCTCATGCGCCCAGGTGAGCTCAACGCTCCCCTGTCCCCGCCACCTCCGGCTTGTCCTGTCCAGGCTAGCTTCCTGTCACGCGGGCAGGTCTCTGCCCTGCGCCAGCCTTCCCAGGTGCGCGCACACTTGTGCTCCAGCCCCCTGCACCTCGTGCACAGCCCACAGAAGCCAGTGGCGGCTCCTGTGCCCATCAGTCTAGCTTGGTGCCCTCTGGCTAGCCCAGCCCTGGACTTGATCCACTGCATCTGTGAGCGTGCCCCTGGAGTCGCTGGTGCCATGACAGCACGCCCACACTCCGTGGACAGGGCTCAGGCTGGCGGATGTGGCCAGGGAGGCTGCAGTCAGCCAGTCATTCCTCCTTTACCGATTGTGCCAAGACTTGAAGCCCCAGCTGCACGGCCACACCTTCCTCCTGTCGTGTCTGCTATGGCGGTGTAGGGGGGGGGCGCTCTGCACACATACTTCATACATGTTTCGGGTGGGAAACCCAGGTTAGAGGCACAGGAGACCAGGGTGAAATGAGAAGGGTGTGGAGCCGGCTAAGTCCACGAGCCATCAACACACTCTCATTACACGTGACTCATCTCTGTAAAGAAATCTGCAGCTGGGCATCACACTCAGGACTGGCACATCCTAAGCAGGGCACACTGATTCCAGCACACAGGGGGACTGTGGAACCCCAGAAACATTGCTACCACTCAGGACAGCTCAGCGTGCCGCATAGCGACACCCACACCACCCACGTCGTCTCTCAACGGTCACAGCTCCAGGCCCACGTGCATCCCTCCGCCTTTCACAGTGGCCCTGGCCTCCTGGGTGAGTCCTCTCCCCACGTCACGACAGAACTGTTTCCAACAGAGCTCATCCACTGACACGTGTGTCCCCACGCCAGCGATAAAGACAAAGCACTGCTCCTGAATAGCTGGGTGGGGACAAGAGCGGAGCTGGCAAGGCTGCAGATGCCTTTAGGCCCCCAAGTTCAAGTGGACCCAGACAGGTCAGCTGGCGGGGCAGCAGCCTGGACACACCCATGTTTGGTGGCAAGAACAGCGCCACCCACTGGCATGACCTACCCTTGGAAAACAGATGACCGAAAGGAAGACAAAGCCAATGGAGCTGTGGTTTCCAGAGCGATTTATTCATTAAAATCTATTCAATGCGCCATCAGCAGTGGTCCTGTGTGTATTGTGCTGATAAATAGACACTGACTGAGAAGATTTAACAAGTTCGCCATTTAATAAGTCTCAATTTTTATCACATGGTATTGTACATGGTCATCTGTTGAAACAGATTTCTTTTTAACAGATCTTAGTTTAAAAAAGTCATAGACACTGTGAGTTCTGTATAAACTGGTGGACAGCAAGTTAGTTCCTTTGTTCTGACTGACAAGCCTCAACTTCACCGAAGGATAAAGAATGTAGGCCAAAGAAAGCATAATCGGTCACTCGTATAGAACAGTATTGTTTCTATAATTTGAAGCTTTCTGAATGGACGGGTTCAGGCCTGATCCAACTGTAAAAAGATTACTTAATGAATAGACTATATGGAAATCGTACAAAATGTTATTAACTTTAATCATTAATAGCTTAAACAGTACTCTATTACTAACTGCTATTCAAAACCCAAAGCCTCTCTGGGCCCGGGCGGGGGGCGGCTGCGGGCGCTCCCTCCTCCCGCACGCCCCGTGCTGAGGGGCAGAGGCTTTGGCTTTCCGAGTCCCAGGCATTTAAAGAATGGCTTCAGTTGTCAAGAGGAGTACAGGAGGGCTGTGCTTTAGTAACGCACACCCTAGCAGAGGGGCTGGAGGTGCAGGGCACTCCTACTGTCAGAGCTAGGGGACTCCGGTGCACAGGACAAGACAAGGAGAGAAAGCAATCCCTTTCAAACAAAATCTGAAAATAAAAAAATGTTCACAGTGGTTTATATCAACAGTATGCATTTCATGACAGTAACATGTACAGACTCAGAGCACCCTAGGGCTCTTTATATCCTAAAGAAAACGAGCATTTACACTATTTCATGGTTTGCACTGAATTAAAAAAAATCAATTGTACACTTACTCCTCCGACAGGATAAACTGTCCTGGGGTGTACAGCTTTAACACCATCATTAACGTTGTTTGCAAAAGAAATAGGGTATTTAAAAACAAAATCATTTTTCTTTCATTTGCTGTTATAACCAGCAAATGCCATCCTTAAGTCGAAGAGGGGAGGGCCCACAGCACAGGTCTATCTGAGCAGGCTGACCGGCACGCACGCGCCGTCTGAAAAATGAAGGCTATCTATAACTCTATGGTACAAGTCCTGACCGCGTGGCAGGGCGACACTATTTCTTTGCTTGCTTTGTGATCATACCGCGGGGTGGCGTGACAGGTCTCGTGGCATTCGGCTTCTTTTTCTCTGCAGGCTTTAAAATCTGCGAAGATGACAAAAGCATTTTAGGAAATATGCTCAACTCCCAATCTTGAAGGTTTTACATTCTCACTGAAATCTTTTGCTTAGAAAGGTTTGGCCGTTTCCAGCAGCTCCACCTGCAGGCCAAGCCCACATGGGACATCTAGGTGCTATCAGCAATGGGACAAATGCACGTGTACACATGCATACATATGTGTGTGCGTACACGTACACACGTACACACACACGAGTGCTGCTCCTCACCCAAGTGCGCAGACCTTTGGAAGAGCAGTCCCCAGGACCCACAGGGAGTGTGGCGCATGCGGGGTCCTTGCCGTGCCCGGAGCTGTGAGCACCCTAGGTAAGCTCATTCTAGCATGAGCTAGCAGAATGGGTCCAATGGGTCCAGTCCACTCAACTGGTAGCTGCTGCGGGCTCTCAGCGGCCGCCCCACCATGTTCCTCCCAAGCAGATGTGGGCAGAGCTAATGCTTCCGCCCTGTGGAGGTGGACAACATGGCCAGGGAGCCCCACACGGCTTGGAGAGAAGCTGATGGCGCCACTTTACCACACAGCACTCCAGGCACGCAGGCCCACACGCACGGCTGGCACACACAAGCAGCTCTTTAATTTCAGCTCAACATTACAGTCACAGCATGGTTTTAGATAGAGGGAACAAAGTCCTAAGTACAAGGAACTTTTACCTGTTCAATAAATTGGCAAGTTAAATTCAACCCTGGGAGAAAGATCTAGAAAGTGGTTGAGGACAAGAGCGGGCTGGGCCGCGGGGAGGGGCTGGCGCCTACCTGGAAGGAACACATCAGCGTCTCGTCCACGCTCATCATGGCCCCCGCATTGTCAAACTCTCCACAGTAATTTGGTGCAGAGAACAGAGTGACCAACTGCCTCTTTGCAAAAAATTCATATCCGTCTTCAACCACCTTGGAGAGAAAGGTTTTTCAGCGTGAGCAGACGCACATTTGGCCGAGCAAAGCCCTGGCCGGCTCCCGGCTCCCGCTCCCTGCAGGTCGCTGCAGAGACCAACTTCTGCTGAGGAAGCAATACCTACCCACCACACCACAGGGAGGGTCGGGCTCACACACGCGCGAAGGTGAACACGCAAAATTCAAAACCAATACCTGATGGGCTCTACAAATAAGGTCCAAATCATGCTTATGGAGGAATTTGGCAACCACTTCTGCACCAAACGTGAAGGACACGCCTCTGTCATTTTCACCCCAGCCTAAGACATCTTTATCGGGGTCAGACCACAAAAGATCACAAAGAAGACCTTGATCAGGCACATCAGTTGGTCGCATAATTCGCCGAATCTGCTCCATAGATTGAAGATCTGGTGATAAACCTGCGGAAGAAGGGAAACACTGAAGGAGCAGCCCGGTGGCCCTTCACAGCTCCCTCGGCACAGACACTGACACCTATGGTTAGGCTGGCCTGGGTTAAAGCAACACACGACAGATCTTGCCATTCATGAAATATACAGGGACAGGGGCTTTGGTATTCAGCATCAGGGTATGGTGATTAAACCGAGTGGACAGGGGCATTGACCCCGTCCCCAGGTCAGGCCGCAATGCACACCCTAGGTGCAGTGCAGGGTGCACATAGACCACCGCGCTCTGACCAGCCAGCATGTGGCTCCAGTCCTGGAGCTTGAACTCAGGGCCTGGGCTCTGTCCTGAGCCTCTCTCTGTGCTCAAGGATAGCACTCTAGTCACAGCACCACTTATGGCATTTTCCTGTGGTATTGAGGAATAGAACGCAGGGCTTCATGCATGCTAGGCAAGCACTCTACACTGAGCCACCTGGCCAGCCCTGGCTGCTCTCTTGCCTTCATTAAAGCACCATCTTCGGCTGGCTCTTTGAGTCTTCTCTGACGCTATTTTAATGCCTTCACACACCAAGCAAAGCAAAGAAACTCAGACTCCCAAGTCAGAGGATCAAAAACAGATCAAAGGACAAGTTACACTTTCAGTATTCAAAAGGATCTATGGCTCAGCAGGTTAAGCATGGCTCATTTTATATTTAAGAGCACTTTCTGCTCTATTTTCAAATCACACTGTCACTGTCTACAGTTCCTTGCCACAAACGCATTTCCTCCAGACCTCTATCTGGATGGTCGGGCTATACACAGTGCTGACGAAGGCGGTCACCCCAGGCGGCTCCCAGACGCCAGCCCCACCATCAGGAAGACTTCTGATGACAGCCAGCCACATACCCCCATGACAGCAGAATATTTTCTCATCCACGATGGCTGCTATTGGCAAGCAGTTAAAACAGTCTGTGAAAGTCTTCCATAGTTTAATGTTGTATCTTCTTTTACCTGTGAACATTTAGGATGGTTAGAAGTGTCTCTTCTGCAGTTTCACATTCTACAAGTTGCTCTAAAAGCAAGATTTTGATTAGCTTTCAAGTCAACAAAACTATGTCTTCTTCAAAATCTCCTGGAGGGGACTGAAGGTGGGTGCTTGGGAGGCAGAGATGTCTGATTCCCATCTTCACATGGAATATTTTCAAATGTCCCACACATGTATAATCAGAATTCTCGCTAAGACGATTAGGAATTAGCATCAGATTCCAATTGTTTGGTAGCACCAAACCTGTCTAAAATCTAGCACGAACCTAAAGCTTCCTATTTCTAAGGTAATTATGCGCTGCCGTTTTCTCCCCGAGGAAACAGAGAGCTCATGCCCACTGGGTCCGCCCTAAGCTGGGAGCTTCTGGCCAGGCAGTGAGCACCAGCAGACACAGACCACTCAACACCGCACACACTCGGCGCACACGCGCATACGCTGTTCTCCAGTCAAAGGGGACTAACAGAGTACACTTATCTTGACATCCAAAATGGGGCCGTGGATTAAATGTAATTTAAAAATTAATTTTAAAAATCATTTTTCTTTCTCTACTCAGCGTGTTTTAGGAAAGTAAATGCCTTTCCTCCTTAGTATCAATGTGCCAGAAGCCAGGCCACTGACAGGTATTGGAAGCGCTTTCCTTTAGGAAAAGCACGGTGGGCGCAGAGCGCACACCGGGGCTATGTGAAATCTCTGCGTAAAGCTGTTAAGAACCGCAGTGTCTAGGTAAGTTCTCAGACTCTTTGTGAGTTCTGTGTGAGTTGGCACTTTGCAGAGACCTCCACAAAGCCACCCCTCAATCACCACCACCAGAGTAGCACCTGCACTGCGTCTCAGCAAAGGCAACCCTGGAGAAAAAAAGCAAGTAAGTCAATAAAGGAAGGACGTGAACTCCTAACTGCATCTGAACTCTGTCACAAACATAGCAAGAGCACACTCGCGCACGCACACCCATACAGGTACCTACACACCCACACACACTTCCCTTGGACGCAGGGAATACTTACATTCATCATAAAACCCATAAATTCTATTGATGCTGGCGCACTCGTGGTTGCCTCTGAGAAGAAAGAAGTTCTCGGGGTACTTGATCTTGTAGGCCAGTAAGAGGCAGATCGTCTCCAGGGACTGCTTCCCCCTGTCCACGTAGTCCCCCAGAAAGAGATAGTTGCTTTCTGGTGGGAAGCCCCCATATTCAAAAAGTCGAAGCAAATCATAGTATTGCCCGTGGATGTCACCTAGAGAGAGGTGAGACTCCGTGAGACAGTGCTCCCACGCTTACAGCTCGGTTCACTGTCACAATGGCAACGACCTCTAATAATTTCACAGCCAACATGAAGTACGCTCCAATCCTATGCCACTACTCCACACAGCTGAGCATAATAAAAGCAGCAACGGTGTCCTGAAGCCAGCCCATGCGCTAGGCATCCACGCTGGGAAGCAGTGTCGGCCTACACTCTGCTCGTTCTTCTTTGCAGCTCCACCCCCAGGAGCTGGGGCACACACCCTCGCCCCACAGATTGAAAACGTGGCCTCCATGGTGCCCGGCTGGCAGTTCCCCTTTCAAGGATGTGTCTAACGCACTGGGCAAGAAGTTGCGAGCGCGCAGCATCGCTCCAGGCCAGTTCAGGTTCTGCAGTCTATAGAGAGCGGAACCTGCTTCATCTCCACAGATGTGTGAGGACACACGAGCACCAAGTGTCAAGTGCTAGCTTTCACTCATGTGTAACACCAGGGTAGGTTTAAACTTCAACATAATCCTCAATATATTCCGATCTTAGCTCTCCAGTAAAATAATTATTTAAAATCTCAACACCACAGCGGGGTCAGTAGAGGCGTTTACTCTAAAGCTGCTGTGTAAGTTGGCTTTCAGGCGTTCCGAGATATCAATCCACGGGAATGATTCTGCTGGTGAATGAAGAGTCCCACATACGTATTGGCCTGTCAGCCACACAACCAAAGATAGTTCAGTCTGTCAAAACTTACCACATATTTTGAGTGGTGCTTCAAGTTCTAGTAGGATAGGCTGACTGAGAAAGATCTCGCGGGACTTCAAGCACAGTCCTCTGATTTCATTCTCCTGCAGCTGGACATTCTTACCTGGCTTGGACCCTCTCACTGCAGGAGAGAAATGCGTCAATTAGCCCCGCTGAGCAAAGACCAGGCGGGGGGGGGGGGGGGGCTGCGGCTCGGCCCAGGCGCCTTCTGCCCTCACCCTTCTCTTCTCAAGGGTCACAAGCGGGGTGGCATTCACATAGTGGGAGATTTCTTCTTTTTCTTTCGCTAGTCCTAGAGCTTGAACTCTGGGCCTGGGCGCTGTCCCTTAGCTCTTCAGCTCAAGGATAGTGCTTTACCACTTGAGCCACAGCACCACTTAAAGACTTCTGGTTTATCATTGGAGATAAGTCTCACGGACTTTCCTGCCCAGGTTGGCTTTGAACTGCCATCCTCTCAGCCTCCTGAATAGCTAGGATCTGTGTGGCCAAGATGCCCGGCGCCACTCAACGCCCAGCATCACTTGTAACTCCTGAGGCACAGAATGAGACAAGACCCAGATGCCCAGGTTTTTGGATTGGTTCTACATAACTTCAGGCAATTCACTACTTTTGACCCAAAAATATATAGCCAGGCCAAAAGATGAACAGTTTTTTCTTATCAAAACATTATGAAACAGAAACAATGCAATGATAATCTGGAAGTATGAAACAGATGCACACGTTCCACAGCATTCCAAATGCAGCAGCAACTGACCAACCCCAAAATCTTTGGTCAGAAAACACAGGAGCACACTGGCACTATAGAAGCTCGCCCGGGGAAGGATGGGGGAACCCGCTCCACTGGCCAGGAACCCCCAACACTGGCAATTCCACACGCTAGCTAGAAACCTAGGCAGACTGCCCAGTAGGGAAATTTATTCTTGGGTAGAAGGCCCTCCTAAAAGCTTCTGGTTTCAGTCTGAATCCTCTTCAGCAGGGTTTTCTACCTGTAAACCAGGTACCTACTCTTAAGTCCTCTCAGAAAGTGTTTTTGTAACACTGGGTTTATACCTATATAGACAGTGAGCTTACTGTCCTATTCCTATGAATGCTATTGTAGTAAATCAATGTCATCAGATTAAACAGACATAGTTGGATAATTAACTATGCTGTTTCTTTTCTTCTTGAGACAAGATCTTGCTATGATGCCTAGATGTATCCGGATCTCAAAATCCTCCTGTCTCAGCCTCCAAAGATTGAGATTATAGGCATGTGCCACCTGGCATGGGCAAAGGTGTTTCTGTTGTTTTTCCTGGTCTGAGGGCTTGAACTCAGGGCCTGGATGCTGTCCCTGAGCCTCTCTGTGCTCAAGTCTAGTACTCTACCACCTGAGCCACAACGCCACTTCCGGCTTTTTCTGAATAGTTAATTAGAGGCAAGAGTCTCACAGACCTTTCTGCCTAGGCTAACTTTGAACTGTGATTCTCAGATCTCAGCCTCCTACTGAGTAGGCAGGATAACAGGCGAGTCTCTGGTGCCCAGCTCTGGCCAGAGTTTTGTTTTTGGTTTTTTTTTTGCTTTTTTTTTTTGGGTCCGGTCGTGGGGCCTGAACTCTGGACCTGGGTGTTGTCCCTCAGCTCTTCAGCTCAAGGCTAGCGCTCTACCACTTGAGCCACAGCGCCACTTCCAGCTTTTTTTTTTTGCTTATGTGGTGCTGAGGAATCGAACCCAGGGCCTCAGGCATGCAAGGCAAACGCACTACCACTGAGCCACCTTCCCAGCCCCTGGCCAGAGTTTTTTTCTAACAAAAATCCTATTCCTAGCTGGGCGCCAGTGGCTCACCCCTGTAATCCTAGCTACTCTGAAGGCTGAGATCTGAGGATCACAGTTCAAAGCCAGTCCAGGCAGGAAAGTCTGTGAGATTCATCTCCAATTAACCACCAGAAAACTGGAAGTGGTGCTGTGGCTCAAGTGGTAGAGCACTCACCTTGAGCTGAAGAGCTGAGGGCCAGCCCCCAGTTCAAGCCCCATGACCGACAAAAATAATAATAATAAAAAAATAAAATTTTATTCCTACCTGAGTGTCAGCCACTCAAGCTCCTAAGCCTGGCTAATCAGGAGGTTGAGATCTGGAGGACAGTGGTTCAAGGCCAAGCTAGGCAGAAAAAAGTCCACAGGACTCCATCTTCACAAAATAACTAGTAAAAAGCCAAGCTGGAGGCATGGTTCAAGTGGCAGAGTAACTGTTGCACAAGCATGTAATTCTGAGTTCAAACCCAGAACTAGCAACACGGAAAACCCCAAACCCCCAAACAGCAGCGCCATTCTCCGGACAGGTTCATGGCAATCCTTCTTGAACCGGTGCTAAGGGCTCAGCATGGCCCTCTCAGCGCCAGGCACTTCCCTCCCATCAGGGAGGCTGGAGGCCAAAGTCAGAGCCTCCCAGGCGGCCAGGCATGGCTCCAGCCTTGGGATTTGTCCGAAAACACCACAAAACCCACTAGTCCTGCTCCCTAAGCGAAGTGACCGAGACACGGAAGCCTCGTCCATCCTTTCAACATGGAAGCATTAAGGGTAGCCGAGCCACAGGGGTGGCCAGCAGATCCCACCTCACACGGCTGGGCGGCTGGGCTGCAGCGTGCAGAGACCCGACTTTACTCCCCTTCCCCTTCCCTTCTCCTCCCCTCTCCTTTCTGGGAGTGGGGGGGGGATGCGGGGAGCGAGCGGAGAATAAGCAGTATTCAGGACACACCAGGCCATGGGAGCTGTTAGAAATGTCATTTCTACCCACAACTGACTGCACCTCCGCCCTACGGACAATGCCTTCAACACCGCTGAAACCCAACCAAGACGGGGGCGTCTCCACTTTGTGCGGCTGTGAGCTGCAGAGACAGTGCCAGTACAGCTCTTCACACGAGTGTAAACCCACTCACCTAAACGACTAAGCTAGCACCACAGCAGACACAGGTGGGAAAAATCAAGATTGTCATCCATGACTCTTTTTTAAGTAGCAGTCCAGATAACGAACATAAACCACACCAATAACTGAACGCCAGCACATCCCAAATGTCCAGTGCGCAACGCCACTGCAGCGTCTCGCAGAAGTCTGGGAGCAGACCTGTGTGGAATGGTGTATGTGGCCGTGTGTGTGTGACTGGTGGATAAACTCAAATAGCACAGACCTACTTTTTATTTATTTATTTATTTTTTATTTTATTTTATTTTTTGCCGGTCGTGGGGCCTGAACTCTGGGCCTGGGAGCTGTCCCTCAGCTCTTCAGCTCAAGGCCAGTGCTCTACCACTGGAGCCACAGCACCACTTCCGGCTTTTTCTGTTTATGTGGGGCTGAGGAATGGAACCCAGGGCCTCATGCTTGCAAGGCATGCACTCTACTGCTGAGCCACCTACCTTCCCAGCCCCAGACCTACTTTTTAGTAAGATATTTCTTTTCTTTTTCTTTTATTTGGTTGTTTGTGGGGCTTGAACTCTGGGCCTGAGCACTGTCCCTCAGCTCTTCAGCTCAAGGCATGCACTCTGCCACTTGAGCCACAGCACCACCTCCGATTTTCTGGTGGTTTTTTGGAGATAAGAGTCTCAGGGACTTTCCTGCCCAGGCTGGCTTTGAACAGTGATCTTCAGATCTCAGCCTCCACAGTAGCTAGGATTACAGGTGTAAGTCACCTGCGGCACCTGGCTTAGTGAGATATTTCTTATCGGCTTAGAACAGATTTGGAAAAATGCACCATGGCCGCTGACAGCAAAGTATGTTCCGGATGTGTTATATTTGGTCTGCACTCTGGCCAAGCAGTAACACCAGTACATCATACAAACACCCATACCACCTCTCCAAAAATATACAAAGAATTTAGCAGTGATCATGTGCAACCCAACAGTAAGAACTTCTTATAAGGCCTAGCATCAAGAGAGGAGAAGAAAGCTATGAAAGAAAGTTAAAGTGACTCTGATGTTAAGGATAAGAAGCGTTTTCCTGGTCACATAAAAGCCCTTCATCATTGGAAGGTCACATTAAAGGCACTACATGCACACACAAAAAAGCTCCAGCTGGAGGCTGGGAAGGTGGCTCAGTGGTAGAGTGCTTGCCTTGCATGCATGAGGCCCTGGGTTCAATTCCTCAGCACCACACAAGCAAAAAGAAAAAAGCCGGAAGTGGGGCTGTAGCTCAAGTGGTAGAGCACTAGCCTTGAGCTGAAGAGCTGAGGGACAGTGCCCAAGCCCAGAGTTCAGGCCCCACGACGGGACCCCAATCTCCCCCCCAAAAAAGCTCCAGCTAAATTAAAATGAAGTTCTAGAACCTAAGAATGGCACAACCAGTATAAAAATAAATCAGATTTTGCTTTAGAATAATCCTATTAAGTAGAGCACTGGTGGCTCACATCTATAATCCTAGCTACTCAGGAGGCTGAGAGCCACAGGACCAGGGATTGAAGGCAGCCTGGGCAGAAAATGCTCCAACACTCCCTCTCCAAAACCAGTAAGATCCTGGGCTGGAAGCGTGGCTCATGGAGGTAGACTCTAAGTCTCAGTAAGCTTGAGGCCTAAGTTCAAATCCTAGCACCACCAGGAACAAAAAAACAAAAAGCCCACTACTAAATTCGGTGGTAATCTTAAGAATAAGCCACATTACACCTAAAGAAAAAAATTCATTTAACATCTACAATATTAAATCTTCCCGGGGCTGGGAATGTGGCGTAGTGGCAGAGTGCTGGCCTGGCATGCATGAAGCCCTGGGTTTGATTCCTCAATGTCACATAAACAGAGAGCACTAGGCCTTGAGCCCAAAGAAGCTCAAGGACAGAGCCCAGCCCTGAGTTCAAGGCCCAGGACTGGCCAGAAAAAAAAAAAAACAAAAAAAAAACCCATGAGATTCTTAGACTCATACCTCCAATTAACCAGCAAAAGCACTAGGAAGGGGATAGCCTAAGCCAGAGCGGGAGCCCCAAATGCAGGCTTATTTGGCTTCTTCAGCACAGTACACAGCCTTCCACCACAACCACAGCAGGTGGTTGTGGGACGCCACTCAGGTACGCCACAGCACCTGAGTGCAGTGCTGGTGCCAGGTAGAGCGCGGCGCTCAGGGCATCCTCAAAGGCAGCAATCAGCGTGCAGATGCCCAACACTGCCAGCGCTC